CAGGCTTTGACACCAATTTCACTAAATTTGTCTCAAGTTTCCTCGGAATAGCTTTTCAAAGACTCGGGAAGAATCTTTGCAACGAGGAAGTTCACGTCCTTTGATTGCACGACCTTGCTTGTTTTATTCATTCTATCCAGCATGACATTACAAATAATTATGAGAAAGATTGTTTGTAGGTTTCCAATTTTTGTGCTTAACCCTTCTGCCTCTCTCATTGTTTTGGCTAGCTGTTCTTGCTTAACCCTTCTGCCTTTCTCATTGTTTTGGCTAGCTGTTCGTGCTTAACCCTTCTGCCTTTCTCATTGTTTTGGCTGGCTGTTCTTGCTTAACCCTTCTGCCTTTCTTATTGTTTTGGCTAGCTGTTCGTGTTGAACCCTTCTGCCTCTGTCATTGTTTTGGCTACCGGTTCATTTTCTGCTGATAGAAAATCCAGCTCACGTTTACATTTCTCGACACCCCGTCACGGAGCACGCACAGCATCAAAATGTGCATCGTATGTCAGACGGACGCTTGACCACACAATATCGTCCTAAAGATGTTGTCAATACATTCCACCGTTGCGTAGAACTAGCAAAACATAAAGATAGATGCTAAACAAAGTCAAAACATTTTAAAGACTAGATTTTACTCCAAGCAAATTCAGGTTTTGTCCAGCACAGGGGACTGACTGACTTTCTACCCCACCAGGACATCACACAAGCGATAAACACCCGATAACACAAGGTGCCACCATGTGGATTAGGATCGCCGTGGAGAGGTCCCAGAAACCGCGTTCAGGCAATTGGCCATAATTGTGGCCTGCCTATATTGCGGCCCCTAGCAAAAGCTAGGGTGGGGCTTCAAATAAAACATTATGTCCTGAAAAGGACAAAATTTAACAAGCACAGGGAACATAAATGATTGAGTTGATGAATCCGCGTTTGCAGTCCAGGATACAAAGTCCGACAATTAAGTAATGAGACTAATTCCATAAAAATTAAAATAGTTAACAGTTGAAGATATAACCTGTATTTTATTTAAAGTAAGCCCCTTGTGCGATGATACAGGAAGTGACACAATCTAACAAACACTGGAACGACCTCTGTAGTTCTTCTGTTGCTATGACATTTAAAGTCGATGTTGCGGCCCTTTGGATGTCAGCAATATCCTCAACGAAGCGTCCTTTCAACGATAATTTTAATTTGGGAATAGAAAATAAACACAGGGAGATAAATCTGGGGAATAGGGTGGATGGTTGAGAACACAAATTTGTTTTAGGGCCAAAAATTCCTGTTTTGATGATGTCTCGTGGGTACTCAACCCGCTGATGTTTTTGGTCATTAGACAACGAATGCGGTACAAACCTGCAAGCAACTTTTTTTCTTGCCAAAATCTTGCACTAAAATTTTAAGAAGGGTCTCTATATTAACAGCACATTCATCTGCTATCATCCTGACAGTCAAACAACAATCTTCTTGTATCCGTTCTGTGATTTTTCTAATGAGTTTCTCATTACCAATAGAAATTGGGCGTCCAGATCTTGTTGCATTAGTATTGAATCGTGAACACCATCGCATCAATTCAACTGTCTCAACTGCGCTTTTTCTGAGTTTTAAACAGAATTTAATGTGAGCTTTTTGCTCCATGCTGATTTCGTAACAATGCACAGCTAACTAGGTCAATAAAATGACGACTTGTTTGGCAACTGCTAATCAGGCGGCGATGCCAAGTTGCCAGGTCAGAGACGAAGGTTGCCTCTTAGGGTTTCATGCTTTGCTTCACAGATGGCACTTTTGTCTTGGCCGTAATAAAATCAGTTTCATTTCCTAATTGCCGGACCTTGTATCGTCCAGACATATCCGAGGCATTATCATATGAATAAGCTCTACAGTTTGAAGGCATAATTTTGTTCTCATTAGGAGAATCCACGACACTGTCTGTTAGATTCTTTGCTCCATGAGAGAAGATAGGGATGAACATCAAGGAACGTTCCACCGACTCACATCATTAAGTGTGTCGGTCAGTGAATGTCATTGTATCTGTATGTGAGATCTCTGGAGTGGAATCTACATTTAATGAATAATAATACTGCGACTTTATCACTTCTTCAAGAATAGTACACGTACCCTGTGGTCCTATCAGCTCAACACATTCCTTACAAATATTTGCAGATACAAATGACGTGTTGCCTTTTCCAGAATGTCCACATATTTTGTGATGCACTTCCATGAAAGGGTAAAATTCCCTAGGCTGGTGGATCCCCGGGCATGTGCTCCAGCGGGCGCCTACGTTAAGACGGCACTGCTTGTAATCATCTGTTATGCCAACAACATTTGTTAAGAACTTTTGTTTCTAGTTGAACTTAAAATAAAATGTAAAAATGATTTAAGGAAACAAAAAGCCATGGACTTTTGTTTGCTTTCCTGAACAGTTTGTATGTCTACAAATAAAAATCTAGCTTGATGCGGGGAGGGATGTCCGCTGTGCTTGTCAAACATCAGACCTAACAAGCAGACACCATCGAGACAAAACAGTGTTAACCATCACATTGATGTCTGGACACTAAATTCCCTGTTGATGATTGCTTCTTTCCCATTATTTGACACTTTGATGTATGTGGATATGTTTCTATCAGGTGTTGTTAATAGTGCTTGAGATTTTTTTTCATTCTTGTTTTTTTGAGTTTTGAAAAAAAAAAATAGTGAGGGCGGGAGGAAGGGGGGGGGGGGCGGTACTGTCCTGCCATGTATGTTCAAGAAGGGAACTACTGGTCTAGTTTTTCTGCATGTTAAAATGAAGTTTCTTTTACTAGCCTAGCAAACCGGCCCCAGGACTTGTTGGTTGTGGGTGGTTTTGCTAGGCAAATTTACGTTCAGTAGTTTGCCATTGCTTTGTAAACTCTCGACTCCCCTTACCAGTGTCGAACTCAGCGCCAAACGGCCTACAGCTGAATACACCAGGCATATCGGAGTTTTGAGCCACGTCCGTAACCACAAAACTTGCTGTTTGTAAAAACGACAAAATACTCGGACACAATAATATATGCAGAGCAAGTATTAATTATGTCCGTAGATACAACAAAACGATTGGACTTATAGCAGTGTATAGTACACTAGAAGAAGTAGAAATGACAGAAGATTAATTGCGGCTGAACTTCATTGAATAGAGGTTCCATGATTGATTGGTTCATGTGCTCATGCCCTGAAAGAACCGAGAGTGCATCCGAGTTGTAATGAAAGTCCAATTATGCATGCAATCAATCACTGGTGAGCGAATAAACTGTGTGATAGTTACGTTTTCCTTTCTTTCAACACGATCGTTTGTTTTGCTCAAAGTAGAAAATTCTCAGTGCATTGATTGTTCCTACATACGCGTTATGGTCCCCCCCCCCCCCCCCCCCCAATCCACTTCTCCAGATGGGCTATCTTCTCCTAACAGAACTGTGGCTATCCTAAACAAAGAGGCTTGTTATATCTTCTAAATTCAGACACACATAGTGGATGTTGTAGGTTCCTGGCCTTGTTCTAAAAGTTTGCTGTACGCATTTGAAAGTAAAAGATATTGTACGGAACAAACGGAATGTTGGGCTTTTTGGCTGATGGAGAGCTGTTCCAACTCATCTTCGTAACATAGCAGGTCGTCTGCAGAACGTCGCTCTCATCACCTCCCTCCTGAAAGAAGCTAAATCTCTCGCCAGATCTTCCACCCCTAAGGTATTACTTATATCTGCGCACACTTTCGCGCTAGTCGGCGTCAACCTCTATTTTCAGTCCGCCTTGGCGCTTGATATGACACAACTTTCAGTTTCTAAGATGTAGTTTACTAGCCAATTATCTTTCATGCTCAGACTTTATTTTTTTTTAGAATATAAATATTTATTTACTGATAGTTTGTCTATAGAATTTAAATCAAAACTGCTACAGTGTTTCAACTTTTTTCAGGTGGCACTCCCCTCCCTCTTGCCTTCTTCTTAACTATATGGCAAGTCCCCGTCGCCTCCCCCTTCTCCCATATTTAACAAGCATATTAAACAGAAGAGGACTAAGCGCTATAAACATGAAATGTTTTGTACTATTAATTAAATTGTTAACGGAAGATGTACAAACTGCCTAAAAAAAAATGAACGTCTTAAACTTTTTGTTTTATAAATAGGTTTAAAAATATTTTATTTATAATTTAACTGTCCCCCCCCCCCCCCCCCCCCCCCCCCCCCCCCCCCAAATAAAAAAAAAATTGTGGTATAAAGATTATAACAAGTACACATGAAATTTCAAAATTGCTGGATGTCCCCGTGAACTCTTCTTGCGCCCATTAAGGGGCACCCCTCCATGTTGAAATGACTGGTGTTGACAACTGTATGCGCACCTGATTGGCTGAAATTATCTTCCAAAAGTATAGAGAACCGCAAACGGCGGTTGGTGTGAAGAAAAAACATCGATTTCGTGGCCTTTAGACAGTGGTACGAGAGTTACACCGTGGAAGAGACCGGGATCCCCACCACGTAAATGTTTCCAAAGATAGCAGCGGGTTCCTGCATGTAATGTAACCTTTATTGTGAATTCGGCACACAACTTTTAACTATCGCCACAGCACCACATTGTTTTAATTGACTATATTTTTGCTGTCATGTTTGTACTTTTATGTTTTTATAATTGACACAGTAAGTGCTTTACGTGTGGTTTACCACACTCCGAACAGGAGACTTTTGAGAATCGCCGAAGCTTTAACAATAAAAGTCAACAAATCCCTCCTTTGTAAGCAGACAGAATTTATCTGAAATTTGAAGTTACCCTGGTAAGTCACGTGACTACTGTGAGCTTCGGGCGGCCATGAAACAGACATAATGTATAAGAAAAAACTATTCGCATTTCAGTTGAATTTGAGTTTATTTTATATTGATGTAACTCTGTAGTAACGCACCTGATGAGATAGTGAAATATGCCTGGCAATAAATTGTACAGTGTGTTGTTTGTATCCGCATTATTTAAATGTCATGTTTGTATTTTTAATCCCCGCAGCTCCGATGGCACTACATCTGAATCTCACAAACACAGTCTACTTCCCGCCAGCTGTTCACTTGTTTACCTCGGAGATCAAATCTGCCTATCTGTGGTTCTACATCCGCAAACATCCTGACCCCCCTGTCTCCGTGTCCATTGAGTTGATCGTCCCACAAGCTAAATCTGAAAAGACGTTTGGCACCAAGAAATTGTTGTCTGTGAAATTGGCCAGACAAAAAGCGCACGGCTGGAAAAGAATTGATCTAACCAGCACACTAAGCCAGTGGATCAAACATCCGATGACCAACTTTGGCTTGATTCTCAGAGCTGAGGATAAATCTGGAAATAACTTAATTGTTCTACCCCATCCTCCTGATGTCGACAAAGGATACGTAAGTGTTATATGTTATGTTATTGTTAGTTCCTTAATTGCATAATTAATTTTGAATGATAAAGGAGCCACTGTTATTCAGTAATGGTGAAAATATGGGGGTGACTGCAATCAAGCTAATACAAGGAATTCCAGAGAAATTTCTCTGGAATTCCTTGTTATTCAGTACAGTGTTACTGGGGAATTCCAATATAACCCGTGCCGCAACGGTGTTCCAATTCCATCATGATAGAGTTCCAAGGCAAATGTCCCCACTGAAATAATGGAAATTAAATTAATTTGTCCAGGATGTAACAAACTCAAATATTTAAAATGTATTCTTATATATAGTAACTTGTAAAAAAAAAAAAAAAACAGTTTTACTTGATGATAATATCTGAGAGCAAATAAATTTTTAACAAAATTGTATTTACTGTATTTTGATCAAAATGGTGACAGCACATGAAAGTAGGTGGAGTACGGATGATTTAGGTAAATGATTGTTCGGAAAGTGAGTCACTTTCCATGATAACCCCATGAACCGTTTCCGTTGTTTCGTTTCGTAGTCTTTCAGCGCCTGTAGAATCTGAGAATCGCTACTTTTTGCTCTTCTTGTTATTCTTCACGTTCACCGGATGTACACTCCGGCGGAAATTTCTGATTGTTCGTCCACCTCTGGACTTTAGATTTTTTTTTTTTAGACTTGTCTTTAGACCTGTGTTTTAAATGCAGACCCGTTTGAAATTTCTGCTTTTTTTTAAATGCAGACTGTTGGTTCCTTGCCTCTCAGGCAAATGCAGTTTGACTTCGAAGAAAACCCCCAATTATTAGACATTTTTGACATGCTTGTTGGACAGGCAGTGGGTCTATTCTTGTTTCCCCCCACAACGGGGTCGTGGGACCCACACGGGGAACAAGGGTGTGTTGACAGCCAGTGTTCCAAAGTGATCTGGTGTTGGTGACCATTTGTAATTGTTTTTAAGTGTTCTATAAGGTTATCGTTGAAAAAATTAACATACATGTTAACTACAGCCCCGTCAGGGTGCCACTTCTCAACAATTCCTTGCTTTTCAACCACACAGTCAACAGATCTTGGATTTCTGCAGTGCTAATCCTCCCAGCTTCTCCCCCACCCCCTTCTTTTTAGGGAGCAATTTCTTCAGCAGTGTCTTCCTTCCTCTGCTAGTGTTGGTGGCGAAGCTCTTGCGTTGTCAGCTCAGTCGCGTGATCGGCCCTGACAACCGTTCTGTTTCCAATGTGGAGTTCGAGTTCGTAGACAAAATTTCTTATACTGAGATCAAACCCCCTTACAAATTGACACCAGGGTTATGTCGTCATCCTAACTGTGTTTCTACTTCGTCTATTGTAGCAAGTGTTTTGTTTCTTGTAGACAGTAGGTGACTGGCCGCGCATGAGGCCCAGCGATACAACGCACGCACGCAGACACCCACATACAGATACACACACACACAACACACGCACGAAAGCGTACAATCACACACTAGACCTCGGCAAATATATCTCAAGCTTGCGATACAGCTATTTCTGCGTGTCGTCTTGTTCAAAACATAATTACCTGCCATTGCTCAGAAAATGGATGATTAGCATCATTTTTCATAAGATCATGGTCAACTTTTTTTGCACTTTGACACGTAAAAGATTTTACAAAAGTTCATAATGTAACAATACTTTTCCAATATATTATGTTAACAATATTAGTCTGTTAAAATCACAGTTCGCTATTTCTTCTCTCATTTCTTTTTGTTCTTCTTCTTCTTATTCTTGTTCTTCTTGTTCTTGTTCTTCTTGTTCTTGTTCTTGTTCTTGTTCTTGTTCTTGTTCTTCTTCTTCTTCTTCTTCTTCTTCTTCTTCTTCTTCTTCTTCTTCTTCTTCTTCTTCTTCTTCTTCTTCTTCTTCTTCTTGTTCTTCTTGTTCTTCTTCTTGTTCTTCTTGTTCTTCTTTTTCTTCTTCTTCTTCTTCTTCTTTTTCTTCTTCTTCTTCTTCTTCTTTTTCTTCTTCTTCTTCTTCTTCTTCTTCTTCTTCTTCTTCTTCTTCTTCTTCTTCTTCTTCTTCTTCTTCTTCTTCTTCTTCTTCTTCTTCTTCTTCTTCTTCTTCTTCTTCTTCTTCTTCTTCTTCTTCTTCTTCTTCTTCTTCTTCTTCTTCTTCTTCTTCTTCTTCTTCTTCTTCTTCTTCTTCTTCTCCTTGTGGCGTGGAATTTGCGTTGTTTTAGCAAATGCTATATGTGCAGTCTACAGAAGGCAACATAACATAATTCCTCTTCTGTTCTGTACAAGACAGCAAATGACTGATAGAGAAACTACTGTTCTCCCAAGTTGCCTTTATCACCAATGCACAAGTTGGAAGACAAACCTCACACGTAGACAGTATACAGAGGGAATCTCAAACAGTGAAACATCGTAAAAGATCTGATCTGAAACATCGTAAAAGATCTGATCTGAAACATCGTAAAAGATCTGATCTGAAACATCGTAAAAAATCTGATCCATCTTCCAGCCTTGCTGGTTAAAGGAGAGGATTCGAGATTTGCCCACATCTGATTCCCTGCTAATAATTATGATATAATTAATAAACTAGTTTTTGCTCACTGACATACACTGTTAAAATAAGCTCCAAAAGGATGAAACAACATTAACAAATATGACATTTAGTTTGGAGTGGGGGAGTGAGTACTTGTTCCGGATTACAGACTGATGTCGTAGACTACTTTATCTACTTATGTGTAGCTCACGTTCCTTGGGTCAGCTTCTGGCTCAGCCTCGGAGATACTTCAGGAAGGTCGAATCTTCTAGACAATCTGACACCTGCAGCTACACTGGGACATCCACCTGGAACTAGAGTAATTGAACCATCCCTGTAGACACAGTTGGGAAAGTTCGGACCGAACGCCACACTGGGACATCCACCTGGAACTAGAGTAATTGAACAATCCCTGTAGACACAGTTGGGAAAGTTCTGACCGAAAGCCACACTGCCTTCAGTCCTTATCTATGGTTACACCACACGTACATATGATGTAGGGTAGTAACATGTATTCTCATTCTTAGTAGGGTGTAGAATGTTATTTGCTGAAACAGAATCGATATTTCCGATAGAAGATGATGGGAGAAATATTCCATCCACATGTTTCTCAAGGATATAATTTCCGAGCACATGGGTTTTTATCATGGTACGGGGCGTCGTAGGTCGACCCAGCCTAAAGTGGGTACCATAATGTGTGTTCTGTGGAAGTAAAGACGCAGGCGTAATGCTTGCCAAATTACCGAACTAGTGCCGATTGGCCTGTAAAATATGGGTGCTCTTCCCATATGCCCGATTCGCCTAAGGCGTAAAAAAGGATCTTTGCTTTACTTAAACTAAAAGACGCCAGAGCCGCCATGGTGTAGCGCTCGCCTGCGGATCGGAAGGTCGTGGATTCGGGTCCTGATGCTGCCGGACTTGGCTGCTAAGTTGACCCAACCTTTATTTGCACCGGCTCAGGCCAGGTGCAGACCAAACCATCCACCGAGTGCCCATTAGTCTATAAAATATAGGTCTCGCCCTATATGCCCTATACGTCCGAAAGCATGAAAAAGAGTTCCTTGACTTTTACTGTAACAGACATTTCTATGATAAGTATGGACACTTTGTGATAGGTCGTAAGTCGGAGTCGCTGGTCAAAACCTCAGATCGAGTCGCGAGTCGTTAGTGACGTAACTAAAGTCGCATTCGAGTCCAAGTCGCTTGACCCACGCTCTGTCCACTAGACTCTAGTCTGTTTCAGAAGCTGAATTTTGCCTGCCCAGCCGTTTTACAAATAGGGTCCTTGAAGCCCCACGGGGAAAATTGTATTCGTAAGTAAAGAAAAGTAAGTAAAGGACCCTTTTCCACGCCTTTAGGCGTATAGGGCATATAGGGCTAGACCTATACTTTTATAGACCAATCGGCACAAGCTGGGTGATGTGGTCAGCATCACACCGACCGCCTTTACTTTCACGGGACTGCCCCAGGTACCCACTCAAGGCTGGGTCGACCTGGGAGCCAAGGTCAGAATTGTATTCGACTTTCACGTATTTTTTAGTGTCCTGATCCTATAGACATGATAAAAAAAAAAAAAAAATGTCCCTGTCAGTTCTGCACGTTTGTTTACTTGTTAGCCTAAACCGTGTGTGAGTTTAAAAAAAAGATAGAAAATCGACTCTCGGTGGATAATAAGATCAACATCACACCGGTCGCCTTTACTTCCCAGAACTTCACTTGGAACCCCTCCAAGACAGGATCGATCAGGGAGCCAAGGTCATTTTAATGTTGCAGACTAAAAACAAATATATTGATTACAGAAAAGCAGAAATAAAACTTTTTATGAAACTGATGCAAAGTGATTGTATGCATAGTTCAGTCCATGGTCATTCACGATGGATATTTCTGGCTACACAATACTGTCAGACATTTCATAATCGGACACTCCTTATTTTCGATCGTATTGCTCAACAGTGAAGATAGTCACTGAGTTCCTGTGTCAAATTAAAATGCAAGAGAAAGCATATTTCCTTATTTAAATATGAGCATCATTTTCGAAGGTGAAACTGACAGAATTTTAGCAACGGGGATGCCAATTCTTTGTAATCTGTACATACTGACTCACATTCGCATCGTTCGTAGTCATTAAGTTTCTGTTTCCAGCAGCCCATTAATTATAATTCCATATCTGCTTACACGATTGCCTCTTTTTCTCTGTACAATTAATTATTGAATGTTTTTAATCTTTCTTCTTCGTCTTCGTGTTCACCGGCCGTACAATCCAGCAGAAAGTTTTCGTTGTTCGCCCACTTCTGGAGTTTTTTTTTAAAAACAATTTCACTCATGTGTATGCAGACTGTTGGTTCCTTGCATCTCATGCCAATTTAATCTGACTTCGAAGGAAAGCCCTATATAGTTTACTTTTACGACATGCTTGCATATATTACTCGTGTTCGGCACTCGTTACTGGTTTATCTCATAGTGTCAGCATTCTGTCTTCTTGTC